CTCAAGCAATCCTCCCACCTCAGCCTTTCAAAGTGCTGGGATGACAGGTGTGAGCCACTGTGTCATGCTGACCACATTTTCTTTATCCAATCCACTGTTGATGGGCATCTAGGTTGATTCCATGTCTTTGCTGTTGTGAATAGTGCAGCAATAAACGTACAAACACGTGTCTTTTTTTCTAGAATGATTTATTTTCCTTTAGGTATATACCCAGTAACGGGATTGCTGGGTCAAATGGTAATTCTGTTTTTAAGTTCTTTGAGAAATCTCCAGACTGCTGTCTATAGTGGCTGGACTAATTTACATTCCCACTAACAATGTGTAAGTGTTCTCTTTTCTCTGTAGCCTTACCAACATCTGTTATTTATGGTCTTTGTAATAGCCATTCTGACTGTGTAAGATGATATCCCATTGCGGTTTTAATTTGCATTTCTTTGATGATTAGTGCTGTTGAGCATTTTTTCATATGTTTGTTGGCTGCTTTTATGTCTTCTTTTGAGAAGTGTCTCTTTATGTCTTTTTTCCCACTCTTTAATGTGCTTACTTGTTTTTTGCTTATTGACTGTTTATGTTCCTTTTAGATTCTGGATATTAAAACTGTGTCAGAGGCAAAGCCTATGAATATTTTCTCCTATTCTATAGATTGTCTAATCACTCTGTTGATAAGTTTTCTTGGTATGCAGAAACTCTTTAGTTTAATTAGGTCCCACTTGTCAATTTTTGTTTTGTTGTAGTTGCTTTTAAGGACTTAACCATAAATTTTTTGCTAAAGTTGATGTCGAGAAGGGTATTTCCTGTTTTTTCTTCTAGGATTTTTATAGTTTCAGGTCTTCCATTTTAATCTTTAATTCATCTTGAGTTAATTTTTGCATATGGTAAAAGATAGGGGTCTGGTTTCCTCCTTCTGCATATGGCTAGCCAGCTATCCCAGCACTGCTTTTTGAATAGGGAGTTCTTTTCTGCTTGTTTGTTTTTGTCAACTTTGTTGGTGGTCAGATGGTTGTAGATATGAGGCTTAATTTTGGGTTCTCGATTCTGTTCCACTGGTCTACATATCTGCTCTTGTATCAGTACCATGCTATTTTGGTTACTGTAACCTTAAGGTAGTTTGAAGTCAGGTAATGTGATACCTCTGACTTTGTTCTTTTTGCTTCAAAGTTCTTTGGCTATTTGGGCTCTCTTTTGATTCCATAGCAATGTTTTTTTCTAAATCTGAGAAAAAAGATGTTGGTAGTTTGATAAGAATAGCATTGAATGTATAGACTGCTTTAAGCAGTATGGCTATTTTAACAATATTGATTCTTTCAATCCATGGGCATGGGATGTTTTTCCATTTATTTATGTCATCTATAATTTCTTTCAGCAATGTTTTGTAGCTCTCATGTAGAAATCTTTCAACTCCTTAGTTAGTTGTGTTTCTAGGTATTTTGTGTTTTATTGTGGTTATTGTAGATGGGATTGTGTTTGTAATTTCA